TTTCTTTCACAAAAAAATCGATTGCGGAAAAGTGAAATCACACAAGCACATAAAATTGATATAAGCACATAAATAATTTCAAATTTGTTAATATAATAATTGTTGTTTAATTAACGTTTATTGTAAACTGAATATTGATATTTTATTAATATATATTGCATGTTTGATTGAAAAATAAATTAGAACGTTTTTTAGATTATATAATGATTTTTTCATCCAAAATAAAAGTTGGTACCTAGTTCTAGTTCTAGTGGTGTATTTAGTTCTTCTAGTTCTAATCCGTACGATTTTTTAAATATTATTTAATTAAATATTAATAAACAACACCGCTATCACGAACATTGACCGTAAGTATTCAATATTCGCCGTTCGCCCTAACTGAACTCGAGCCCTGGATCCCCTCCCCCCTCGGCACACACCCCACCCACTCCCAACAATCCTAATCTTAAGTTCTTAACTAAGGTGCCGTAAAGGAGAGACTCTCTCGAGGACAATTCAAAATTCTAACTCAAAGTCAAGGTCCAAATGCCAAATTTATGCAACCCCATATAATTTATGTAGTCAAAGTTTGCATGCTCTTTTTTTGGTGCAAAACTTTTGTTAAAGGGATCTTAAAAAAATTGGAAAGAAAACTTTCAAAAATAAATGGGGAGTCCGAAAATAATTTTTCTTTCTTTTGGTTTAAAAATATAAATAGTTGAATGAACTAATGTAAAATAATAATAAAAAAAACTGCTATTATAAAATAGATTCTGAACCAAAATTGGCAGTTTCGTCGGTTCCAAAAATTACATGGACCCAATCCATTTTCAAAATATCCGAAGTTTAATGAATGGTTCCAATTCTGGAAATACTCGGATCGATCACCCAATGCCATCCTCTAAAAAATATTGCAGGGTTTTAGATTCCACCTTAATGAGTAATGCTATTTATCCCCCAATGTGTTTAACACCAGCCTAATTAACAATATATGTAGCATTAACTGATAAAATCAACTAAATGTAAAGATATAAGATTTATTTAATTGGACCTATCATGTATTACTATTTAGACGGGTGTTTTAATACAATTAGAGCTAGCTAGATAGTATTACTCAAATGGTTAACCTTTTACTTTGAAATCTTGTGACCCTACATTCACTATTACAATCACGCATTTGATTTAGAGTAATGCTATTCATCCTCACTGGGGTTACAAACACAGTTTATGTGGCGTTAATGTGACATTAAATGATAGGTGAAATTAAATAAATCATTTAATTTCACATTTGATTTAACTTATCATTTAAAGTCACCTAAATTGTATTTGTAATCCAAGTGGGGATGAATAACATTACTCTTTCATTTAACCACGTAGATGCGAAAGATAGATTTCGCAGAAGGATCGAACAAAAATATAGTTAATCATGTTGCCTGCCATGAGACACCATGATGGTGAACTCTTGATTTGGTGCAACTTCTATAATAATGAATAGAGAAGTTAGACTGTAGAGATCATAATTTGAAGGGGTCGTGATGCTTACATGTGGACAACGATGATATAGTACGCGTTGAAGAAGTGTGAATAAAAGTTCCACATCGACTAAAAATATAGAAAAGCAACATGTTTGAAAATTGTAGACCTAGGAAATCAAGAAGACAGGAAAGAAAAAGAAGAGTTGTCCACGTGCATCTTTACTTGGATTGAGAACATTATACAGAATTTCAATGAACATGAGGCATCTTATTCTAGTTGATGGATTAGTGGGCATAATTTTGTTTTAAAGTTATGGTTAAGACATTTCGTAAACGAGTTGAAAGCGTGTATTCTAAAATGATGCATGTACACTAACTTTATTGGAAAAAGTTAAGTAAAGATGACAAGTTCTGTTCATTAAATCAATATCAATTCCCGAAATACTAGAATTTGAAAAATCTAAATCACTTTCATACACGTGCACTCAATCGAGCAAATAGTGATAACATTCACAACGGTGTATCATTTTTCCGATAAATTTGGATACTACGAAGCTCGAGCTCGAGACTTGGGTTAGGAGAGCATGTGTTCATTTTACCTTTCATGAATTTTCTTCACATTCTCCAAAATTCGAACGCAAGACATCTGCTTTATGAGAGGCTTTAGTTGAATCATTATAGACGTTATAGAATTCCGTGAAGGTAAGATGCGTACAAGCTCTTTCAAAATGAAAAGTACGTATGAGTTAATGCTCAGGTGCGATGTCCACGTCATATGCTAAATAGATCATTTTTCGTTAGTTCATTTGCTTCATCATCTACCAGAAGATCTAATGGATAACGATAACATCAAACATAATAAAAACAGCATATTTAGAAGCCAGAATAATCCCTTCAACAAAGTTAGAACACAAAAAATAGTACTATAATCACCGCGTGAAGATCAAATCATCGTTCTCAACTGATGAATTTCATGAAAAAATATGTTTGACATCTTGTCGTCAATCAATTTTCACTACATAATCGCACTAGAAAATGCCTTTATACTCATCTGTTACGAACACCAAAGATAATTGAACGATTACAGAAGAACAGAAGCTTAAATGCAAAGAAATAACTAAAATAATTTAGAACATTACAAAGGAATGTTGAAAGAATGAGACATATTCCCACTGCTATGATTATAACAACTTGAAACGCACATTACAAACTAAAAAACAAGGTTTTTGAGCATTATGCAACTTTAACACGAAGAATCCTCTTCGAATGAAGCCTCTATTTAGTTCTATTGATAATTTGTTCGTTTTTTCTTCTTCATTAACTGGTTCGATCTTCTATTACAAGTGACGTACGATATTTTTAAGAGAAATTTGGAGATTGAAGACTGTATTTTTAGATTCTAATTCTCTATCCATGCAAAATTATTGAGGTTAAGCATCTTTTATCCTAGTTTTTAGCTCCATCTTTCCATCTATTATTGCTTTATTATTCTTTTACGAGATATATCATATCTTGACCATACATACTTTCTTTTCCTAGTTGCATCATCCACTTAGCCTAAGACCCTTATTTAAGTCACAGTAGCCTTCTTCAGAATGTTCCATCTCAATATTCCATTACTCCTCATTTCTATAAACTTGCTCATTTTCCTTCGAAAGGTTTCCTTGCACTGTAACACATAATCTTGAAAGGGCTTTCTAGTCTTTGATCAAGAATTGATATCACTTCCTAGGATCAAAGTAAAAGTTTCGACTAGAATTTGAATTCATATCACTCCATTGGAGAATGAATGGGAAAAAGGGTAGTATTGAGATCAATATCCCTTCCATCACCAATACTAAACTTCCAGAAAACAAGAAATGTGGCGAAGCTAACGCTTCGGGCAAAGGCTGGATTTTAAGTATTTGGGAAGTATGCAAAGAAGATAACAATAGAGTAATATTCTCACTAAAAGTTGGCCTTGCAGTTCTTCTTGTATCACTCCTTATACTATGCCGAGCCCCTTATCAAGTTTTCGGCGTCAACATTATTTGGTCCATCCTCACTGTTGCCATGATGTTTGAATTTACTGTTGGTATGTGTATATGCAAACCATCACGCACACCTAAATATCACTGTTAATATCTAAAAGTCATTATATAAAAAGAAACTTTTATATCAAAGAATATCATCATTCATGAGGATACAGGTTATGTTCTACTGGTATGGATCCCGTTTATGGACTTTACACAGTGATGCACGTATACTTGCATAGACATAATTGAATGATTACCTTGACATGTTATCTCTGGCGTTATGTCTTTGAAGGTGACACATTTAATCGAGGGTTCAACCGAGCACTTGGGAGCCTGCTCGCTGGAATTTTAGCCATTGCCATTGCACAGTTAGCCTTCAGAATTGGACGAATTGCTGAGCCAATTATAATTGGTCTGAGCATCTTCATTGTTGGTATATCACCTGACTACCGATAACAACAAATGAACTTCACTTTCCTTCCCTTCCAAATAATACTCTCGTTTGATTTTTGTAGGGACAGTTACGTCATTCATGAAGCTGTTGCCATCCCTTGTTCCCTATGAGTATGGATTCCGAGTTATACTTTTCACCTACTGCTTGATAATTGTTTCTGGCTATCGAATAGGGAACCCGATTAGAACAGCCATGGATCGGCTTTACTCTATGGCCATTGGAGCAATTGTAGCAGTGCTAGTGAATGTGCTCATTTTTCCTATATGGGCTGGGGATCAGTTGCACAAAGAACTCGTCAGTAATTTTAATTCAGTGGCTGATGCACTTGAAGGTATGCCAATCTAAGAAAAATAGTACAAGAAACGAAAGATGTGAGACAATAATAACAAAGAAAAATAAGTGAAACAAACATATCTGTCAACCCTATAATTTACAGATGCTGCAATTCAAATCCTTACAACATCAAATTCATCTGGTTGCAGAATGTGTTAAAAAATACTTGGATGAAGATGGATCCGAACACCCAGAGTTCTCAAAGACTGTCACGGACGACTTCCCAGACGAACCTGCATATAGAAAATGTCGATCCATGTTGAATTCCTCTGCCAAACTTGAATCATTGGTACTAATCATCTCTATGAAGATGAACATAGATCTTCTTTTCTATCCTTGCCAGTTGTAACGTAATTCAATCAAACAAGCACTTACCTAGGATTTCTACTAATGTTTCTGTTTCTGCTTCATAGGCCAATTCAGCTAAATGGGAACCACCCCACGGCAGGTTTAAGCATTTCTTTTATCCATGGTCAGAGTATGTCAAAGTTGGTGCAGTTCTGAGATATTGTGCATACAATGTCATGGCACTCCATGGTGTAGTTCACTCAGAAATTCAGGTCTGTGCCATCTTTCCTATTGATAATCTTGATAGAAACCCCGTACAGATTCATGTTTGCACACCTCACTAAACAGAAAATCGTAAACAACTCAATCCACAGGCCATGTCTACTGAGATACATCATAAGATTTAAACAAAGTTTTACGCTAATTGTCAGCCTCTGGCAACCCACAAGAAGTTAACAAGGCAAAGAACTAAGGAATATACTAAAAGTAGTTCCATCATTCTTGTCAGTTCTCATGAATAATGTTCTGATTGCCTAGAAAAGGCATATCATATCGAACATCTATGAGTTAAATGATCAAGCAAGATTTATACTATTCGTTTGTTCTCGCATATATATAGTGGTTTACATTGGGGAACACATTACTAAATACCTTTCTGATTATTCTGTGAACAAAATCATTTGCTCAATTCAAATGTCTTGCTTCAGTTTCAGATAACTGTAACTAAAGATTCTTATGGTCTGGTTTCTGAAGAATATATTCCTCAAGGAGAATATACATTTATTCAATTAGCAATACCTATTAATACCATTATACTATGGGGCGTATGTCGAGCAACTTGTATTAGATCTGTAATATCCATTTGTGTAGTTATCATATTTCAACTCGGAAAAACTTTTTAGCAATAACTGACATGTGTGCAATTTCTTATATTGTTTATTTTAGGCTCCCTGTAATCTTAGAATCACATTCCAAAAAGAGATCCAAGATGCAGCAAGCGACGCAGCAGAGCTAGTCCGATGTCTAGGCAAAGATATATGTGATATGCAGCGAAGCCTCAAAACAACATCTCTTCTAAAATGGGTACATAGCTCGACTGAACGCCTCCAACGCGCAATAGACATGCACTCGTACCTCTTAACTTCTACTTACGAGGCACCTGATAGTAATACATCTAAGCCACAACCAAGGCTCTCTCTCACCTTATCAGCTACCCTTTCTAACCTTTCAAACCAATTAGCTGAGCTTCCTAAACCAAACTCTGGCCCACCATCTCAACCTCTAAGGGCTATCCCACCACCACAATCAGAATCTTACCATGAAATGATGAGAAAGCAATCAAGAAGGCTTCATTCTTGGCCATCCCGGGAAGTTGACGCGTTTGAAGAGAAAGGGTTTAGCACAGACTTCATTCCTAAAATACGCGTGCTGGAGAGAACTGCTACACTCTCTCTTGCAACATTTACCTCATTGCTTATTGAGTTTGTGGCTAGGCTTGATCACTTGGTTGAAGCAGTTGATGAACTCTCAAAGATGTCCAAATTCAAACAGGAGGCTCTTTAATAGGAGTATTGTATGTCTATCTACAATACATGGCATGTCTATCTACAATACATGGTATTGTCTATCTACAAAACTATATGGTGGTTCATAACTACCTTTTTGTTACAATTGCAAAATAACAACTTATAGTCCTTGGATATATTTTCCCCCTTTTCTTTCTTTTTGCATTTTATGTATAATCCATTGTGGATACTGGATAGTATTGGAAGATATTTCAAATTTCTGTTTCTTTGGGTTTCTTTTCCTCAGACATTTTCTTTCTCCAATAATAACATCAATTTGAGGATTTAACTTCAAATAGAATCCAAACTTGAGATTATTGTGTTGTGTATGATTATATCAACTGTGGTGATAGGCAACATGTTTGGTTAAGCTTAAAAAAAGTTAAAATATTTTCGTGTCCATCGTTGTAGATGTTCACCCGGCCCCACCTGACTTTTCAATGCCTTTAGTCTCGGAGAAACTTACTTTATTCGACAATATTGTCAAAAAGAGTAAGATAGTGTACTGAAAATCCAAGTGGGGGAAAAAAGAGGGGCTCTCGAAGAAGAAAAAAGTTACTTAAAAATAAGGGCCGTTTGATTTTTATTTCAGTTTTTAAATTTGAGTTTTAAATTCATTTTCAATTTTTAAGGTTTGTTTTAAAACAATTCATATAAAGAGGGTTAAAAAACAATTAATGCATATGCACTTCACTTCAAAACAATTCTGCATTTATTTGGAGTGTTCCTATTGCGGAATGTAGTCGTGTATCTTCGAAGATGAATGCCGAAAAATCGTTAGCACATCATTTCTACTTTACATATTTGATTTCGATAAATGGAATTATGTCCGATTTTATGCACGTAAAAAGTTGGTTATTAGAGTATAATTTATGCACGTCAATTCCAACATGTTTGAGGTCAATTTTCTAAAAACTCCTCATTTTTTTCAAACTTATTTTCAATTACACATTCTCTCAATAAAATAATTTTACACATAAACTCAAAATTTCTTTTATTTTTTAAATACACATGTTTTCAAAAAAATCACTATTACAAAATCAATTCAAAAAAATAGGACTCAAACATAGTCTTTAGTATATACTCTATTTCGATTTTTCTTCTATATTACCATTTATTTTTGTCTTTCTTTGCAATCGTTTAAATAGAGAATATAGTCATTCTTTCTGCTGAAATGGAGAGTTAAGAGTGTAATAATTGAAAATACTCTAATATTTGAATTAGTGATATCGGGTTAGTGTTTACACCAAGAAATTTGAAGGAATCTTGGTTAAATATTTTCGTATAATGCTCCACGTACAGGAGCTTTTTCTTACAGGGGCTTACAGGCCCCTCACTGTAGAGGGGGCCCCACTGTTTTAAAAAAATGATTAAAAAATATGGACCCCACCTGAATGTGTGTGGTCTGGCAGAATCTGTGAAAATTCCGTCCTGTACATGTAGTAGCTCTCAATATTTTCAAAGACCTTGGCATCGACTTGAAACTTATGTGAATTTAAATAGCGACGGTTTGTGAGGCTTTATAGTGCCTTATCCAAGGCGAATATTAGATGTGATCAAGATAATATGACAGTACTTTGTAACTTATTTCATTGTAGAAATTTTGAGTAAGCCATACTAAAAGTTTGATCCATAAATAATCGAACCATGATAGAAAATGTACGATCATAGAACTGTTCAACGATTTAGATGTGATCCCGAGCTAGATTGAGACCCAAATCTAGCCAAGATCAAGGAGGCGATCAAGGGACTCGTATATAAGCTTGTTTGCCAGTTTGACGATCACGCTCCGTTGTTGATTATTCAATCCCAGATCTCTATATGAATAAGCTTAGGACTATGTCAACTGTAATTATTTCACATTGCTAAAATCTTTGGAACATAAAGCATAAATTATTCAAACGTACAATTATGATGTTTGACGATGTTAGGCTACCTTTGTTTACACTTGCAACAAGATTCACAATGATAAACAAAAATTGATTTCGAAGTGATCTTAAATTTGACGATTGGGAACTGAAACATTCACTAGGGTTACGACAATTATCTTGTTTGAGAATAATCTATTTGAGGAAAAACATATTACTAATTATTACATCATCCCTCTAATTAAGAACTCACTTTTACATGCATTTCTTCTATTGTGGAAACTGGAATGCTCCAATACCAATTTGTTGTGAAAACATAAGATATTATAGCCACAATATGAAGTTATTGATCACAAGAATCCAAGAACGGTGTAATTTTACAGAGAATGAAGATTTTATTATAATACTTAGAAAAAATACAAAGATTATATATTTATAATTTGTCTAACAACTTCTAACTTCTCACTAAATTATAATGAAACGCCAACTATATATAGTGAACAAATATGTGACGTCCAAACTATTATAGTAAAGTTGTAGATGAAGTAAAATGTCAAAAAACGAAATCTAAAACGGAAAAGGAGACCAAAACAGTGAAAAGCGGATAACAAGCGGTGCCACGTCACCAACCTTACTGTTAATATTTACAGCTGTAGCGCCTAGGCGCCTCGTCTCGACCCAAACTCCTTCCAATAATGTTTTTCTTCATTCCAAAGTCTACTATAAATCCAACACAAATTCCTACTCCCAATAAGCTTTCAAGTAGAACTTCAATTAAAATTTGCCAAGAAAATTTGAATAGGATTTCGCAATTGAATTCCAAATTGGATTTTAATTAATGTGCACTTTAATAAGAACTCTTAATTATCTTCAAAAAAAAATTCGGGCCACACTCAAATTCTAACAATCTCTACATTGACACGAATTCTACTGCAATGAACAAAACTTTAAAAATTCTCCACCTAGATACAAATTTCACTACAAGGAATAAACTTAAACTCTTCGATGAAAAACACAAACAAAACTTCTCAATCAACAATTCCAATTGAAAATATTCTCCACCTCTGCTACCCCAATTAGGGGCAAAAGTGATCTATTGACCACCAAACAAGGCTGAAACAAGCCCGAATTACAACTGAATGCATCAAAAAAAGAATTTTGGCTAGAACCAATACCCTTAACCGCATTCAAACCTCAACAAAATTAGCAAAATTACAACTATGTGGAATCTTATGGCCAAAAATGTGTTTATTTCTAGCAATTGAATACGACGACATCATCGATAATGGTGGCAAGACGGACTTAACCATATCTTTAAAATTCAACTGAGATGTCAAATTAGACTCCAATAGTACAGAAGCCAACTCTAAATCTACCTAAGTTCTTAAAATATGCTGATTACCCAAAGATTATATATTACCTTGCAAGATATATAAATGTGATTTCCTATATCCCTTCAGCACAACACATGCTCATTTGATTACTTTCAGAACTCCACTTTCAACAGTGTATGTCATTTTGAATCAAGAGTACTTAAGAAAATAAGAATTTTCTTCAGATCTAAAACGTATCTTACTGCATAAAGTGTTCTAACTATCCCATCTTTATTTTAACTTGACCAATACCAATTATTTGATAGGGTATGTTATGGTATAGCAAGCTGTTTAACTACTTGTATCGATTTGCCACAGTGTAGTTAGATACTGCCTAAATACAGCCTCAGCTTGGCAGGATGGGAATGAAGGTTTTGGCAAGATATTGAATGGATGAAAGCTATNAATGGATGTTAACTATAACCAGACCCAATCGTTGCAGTACTTGAGAGGAAAAAGCAAAAAAAAAAAAAAGCAGGCCCTTTATTTTGCATACTTCATATGGTCCAAATTCAGTGCCAATCATCACAACACCTTTTGAAACTTCTTTATATGTTGAAAATAATTTTCGATTGGGTGACATGAAAAGTGCAAACTGTATCCAAAATATAAGCCTCATCAGATTTGGAGTTGTAGTTAGACATAAGTAGAAACTCTCCATCACTGCTAAGATTTTCTACAATACTTGCTTCTCTTGAAGTTTCTAATTGTTGATTTGCAATTGACTTTAATTTATTCTGTAACTTACAACAATCGCTTATCAAATGCCCCTTTTTCTTGAAATAATTACAAAATGTGAAGTTAAATTTTGACTTGCTCTTCTAACAACCACCTAAACAATGAGATAATCTCAATAATCCCCATATGTTACAAGATACTTCATCTTCTCCTTTGAATATAAAGCATCGTAGACTTCTTCGATGATGAGAGAATCACGACTATATAGTATCATGTCTCTAAAAGACGTGTATGAGGCGGGCAATAAACACAACAAAATCAATCCCAAATCTTCTTCATCATATTTGACCTCCAACGTCTCTAAATTAGTGACGATTTCTTTAAAAGCAGCTAGGTAATCCTCAAGAGATATACTTTCTATCATACGATGAAAATATAGACATTGTTTCAAATACAATTCGCTAGTAAGACTCTTCGTCATGCACAATTGGTCCAACTTTAACCATAATACATCGCACGACTTCTCATTCAGAAGTCCTGATAAGTACGTTTTACATACTTATTTTACTGTCAAAACATGAGCAATTGTTGATTAATATGTTGAAATATATCTTAATTATATGCAATTCATGTTTTGCAGGACAAGTGATGAATGTAGCGGAAATAAGGAGAAACAATTAAAAAAATGATCAGAATGGAAGAAAGTGAAAGTTCAGGGACTAAAGTGCAAATACTCAAAAATTATGTCGGGGCTCACGATGAAGGTTCGAGAGTGCTAAGGGTCGATTGGAAGCAATTAGAAGTCAAAAGTGAATGGAATATGATCAAAATCAATTTCTAAGTCGCACAAGATATATTCCAGATTTTAAGCCGAAAATTGAGACCCATTTTTGGCATAGTAAAAGTCCGAATTGGAAAAGATCTATTTCTAACAAAGTTGTATCTCTTCAAGTTATCTTTCTAACGTATTTTGATTAGTCTAAATTGGATATCGAAAGATAAAGTTATAATCAAATTACTGACTGCTGTGCAAAGACAAAAAATCCGCGCGCGAAATGAACTTTCCTTATTCGATTAGA